GGAGGGACTCGCTCGAGCAAAAATCGTTTTCGCTCTTGCTCATCACGTATCACCGCTCACGCCGATACGTTTGATGCCGATTTCGACAACGTCGACATCGAGGAAATCGAGCTTAGCAGTAGCGATATCGCTGCTGCTACATCAGACAATGATGACGATGCTTGGATATTCAGCATCGTCAACGAATTTGCCAGCAAGGTAGAAGACACCGTCTTTGAAGAAGAGAACGATATCTTAGCAGTGCGCACGAAGCGCACTGGAAGACACAACAACGAGTCAGCAGAGAACTTCCTGCTGACCCGAGAGGCGGTAGTCCGTGTCGTTCAGAACTCCATCGGAAATGCGGTGGACCGCCAGAAACGGAACGCAGACAAGAATGAAGGAGCAAATGTTCTTTCATTTAAGGTCAACGACCTATGCTACTGTATACGGTAAACTTACCTGGACATGTAGTCACTAATGTCGGCAGTAGTTTACTACTGCCGAACTACATTGGGCCTATTCGTGTGTTGCACCGCAAGGGCAATGCATACACGATCGAATTGCCTCGTAGGATGCGCACGCATCCTACGTTTTGTGTTGGTCGTCTCCGCCTGTACCATTAGTACGAGGCCTCTTGCGAGAACGGAGATAACCGTCGCGCTCAAGAATCCCCAACAGATTCTTGTGATCACGGACCAAACACTGAAGTTGGTCCTTCGTCGAAAGGATTTGATCCTTCATCGACGCGGCCTCGCGACGAGCCGTTTCTAGCTTGTCGCGCAAACGACGCCTCTCGCGTTCACACTTAAACTGAGCGAACGCGAATTCCGATCGTTCCTTCTCCCGATCGGCACGAAGACGTCGCACGTCCGACTGCAAGGCGTGCCGACGATCGTATTCGTGATCGACGTCCTCCCTCAACTCGGTCAGGTACCGCTCGTGGTTACTCAACGTCTCGTGCAGGCCCGGCGGCTGAGCAGGACCTTGTCTTTCCTCCGCCACCGGAACCACTGGTGGATTCCCACGGTGGTCAACGCTTTCTTGTGGAGCGTATCTTGACCACCGTGACGATTCAGGATCAAGGACGAGCTACCTCGTCCGGTGGCGTGGGTACCCACCTTCCTTTGACATCTGGGAACCTCGTTCCCAGCTGATGGCTGACGGTGAAGGCCTCGTCCACCAGGATGACGAGACTCATCCGATTGGCCCTCGGGTTCATCGGTAAATACGCGCTTTTGGCGCTTGTAGACGGATTGCAAGTTTGCAATCGCGTCCCACATCTCAGCCAAGATGTGTGCCCTTCCCCAGGGCGAAATTAGGGAATACACGTCCCTATGTGCACCTTGCGAATTGTCGACACAGCTCGCACAAGGAAACATCCCAAGTGATGCATGGAATGCCGGCCTCACTTGACAAACAATGCAACCGGTACCTTGCACTGGTTGGCGTTCGCTTTTCGAACTTGAAGCGTATCGCCTCAAGCTTCTTAATCCACCTTTCTCGTCCAAAATTCTTGACATTTTGAACGAAGGCGTTCCACGCTGCCAAAAGTGAGTTCTTGTCACGCTTATGGATGCCGTTGTACCATCGATGCCTAAGGAAGGCATCGAGATAGAAGTCTTCTTCAACGCGGAAGTTACTCGCGCTGGAACTTAAGCCATGAAGCTCAGTTGCATCGAATAAAGGAATTCGATGGTGTTGGCTTGTCTCGTGAGACAAGCTATTGATGAGCTGCTCGGGCAAGTGCCACGGCTTGAGCTCACCACGCTTCAAAGTGGTACCTGTTTCGGTACCACTTTGAAGCGTGGTGACGGCTCTCGCCCATGTCATCACGCTCTTGCGGGGAAGCACGAGTTGATACTGGTGAGGCATAGTAGTCCTCACCATAGAGTTCATCATCACTGCCGAACAGACTGTGATGCATTTCACGAGTCCGCTCGTTCGACAGTGCTCTTGACGAACGATGAGGCACTGCCGGTGATCGGGATACCTCTGGAACGTTGCGCGAGTCAGGCACGTCTGACTCGCCATACTTGATGACCTCATTGTCAAGGTCATCATGTGCACGTGGTGCGATACCGCGTGCGTCTGCAGCACCTTCTGCTTCAGACGGAGAACAAGAAGCAGACGACGGAGCGTCTGCCGCAGAGGCTGGCACAGCAGCAGGCTGTGTGGTCTTCGAATCACCTCGCATAGACATGTTAACTATGCGAGTCAAGGTCAGGAGTGAATGGGTCTGACCAAACAAGTTCTCCCTGTCCCAATGGTGTCCAACGGGTGGCCACCAAGTTTTCGATAATCACACGGTGAATATCAGTTAAAGGGGGGTGATGTAACGGGGTAGCCCGTTACATGAAATTACCATTTTGCGAAATGGTAATAAAGTATATTGTGTTGAATATTCTTTTAGAAATATACTAATCACAGTGATATTGTTGAGACAACCCAAGGGTCTACTCATTGGTTGATATTATTTATATCAACCCACCAATCGCTGCTAGACGCGCGCAATGGGTGGTGAGTGGACGTCATCATACATATAGTTATATTGGTATAATTAAGTCAGGACAACAGAGATTCAAGGAGTTATAGGACTTAATTATATCAATACAGGTTTACTTTTACCAAGAGACTAGTCCGACTACTTAGTCTCCTCTCCTTCCTCTATGTTTCCTTAAACACCTAGCAGGGCACTGTCGACCACTGTCGTCAGTGGAAGTATACTCCGTACTGGTCAACCAGTACGTAGTCAACAGTGCCCCGTTACAACCAACACATGTACTCGGTTCTCGGAGTGACGATGGCTTGCGCCATCGTCCACACGCTCGTGTGAAGACGCACGAGTTGGCTGTGGTGATGAGTAATCATAATCAACACCATATTCTTCATCAGTGCTGAACAGACTGTGACGCAAGTCGCAAGTCCGTTAGTTCAGCAGAGACTTTGATGAAGGCTCAGGAAGAGGCACCGTGGGTAATCCGGATGCCTCTGAGGTCTTTCCCGAGTCAGACGCGTCCGACTCGCCAGAGTAGATGACCCTCACTTTGAAGTCATCGAGAGCGCGTGGTGTGAGTGATACCACATGCGCCTACGGCAACAGGTGCCGCAAGCAAAGAAGAAGTAGCATATTACGAGTGGTCTGCCGCGGAGGCTTGCGCAGCAGCATGCTGTGCTGTGTTTGAGTCTCCCCGCATAGACATATTAACTATGCAAGGCAAGGTCAGGTATGAATGGATCTGACCAAGCAAGTGTTCCCTGTCCCAATGGTGTCCAACGAGTGGTCACCAAGGTTTTAGAGTCACACGGTGAATATCAGTTAAAGGGGGGTGATGTAACGGGGTAGACCGTTACATGAAATTACCATTTTGCGAAATGGTAATAAAGTATATTGTGTTGAATATTCTTTTAGAAATATACTAATCACAGTGATATTGTTGAGACAACCCAAGGGTCTACTCATTGGTTGATATTGTCTATATCAACCCACCAATCGCTGCTAGACGCGCGCAATGGGTGGTGAGTGGACGTCATCATATGTCTAATTATATTAATATAATTAAGTTGGGGTCAAAACAGAGAACAAGAGATATTGGACTTAATTATATTGAGTAACAGTTTTACTTTTTCTACAACTAGAGTCTTGCCTAAGTTGTTTATCCTTCCTCTGTATAGTGCTTATTGTGGGAAAGAGACCTGCAACGCCGAGAGGAAATGAAAAAGTAAATATATATTAGCGTTGGTAGTCCGGTTGATACTTACTGCTTGAAGATCTTTCCATGGTTCCTGGAGAGTCGTCCTTGTATCTTATAGATCTTCGCACGTATCCCAGCAGTCCTTCCTGTCCGCGAAACGGTTAATTGCATGTGCATCTTCCACCGAGACACACCACTCAACTTCAACACGGATGTCATGTGACTTCCAACACTTATACCCAGCAGGGCACTGAGCTTCACTGTTGTCAGTGAGAGTTGACTCCGTACTGGTGTTCCAGTACGAAGTAGCCAGTGCCCCGTTGCACATTTAGCATGTTCGGCCAAATAAATGTGCTCCAGAGTGCATACCAAAATTGCGTTAGACTTTGCATACCATCGACTTCGACGTTTCTTCAGATCAAAACATGTCAACTTGTCAGGTGACTTACGAACGGCTAGTCTACATGAGAGTTGATTCAACCGTTGTGGCATTGAAGTATCGAGAGAATGGAATGTGAGAATGGGTCCCGTTGGAGATGCAGCTGTTGTCATCGATTTGGTTTTCGTTCCGGTTTGTTGCTGCCGCCAGCGTACAGCAGATGCCCGCGATGAATATGTAAATCCCAATGCTCCTTTTCACGCTGCCGAATAACATCGCATGCTTCAACGCAATCGTGATGATTGTGGTCAGATTCGTCGTGTCTCGTCAACATCCTTGACTTTCGCGTCGCAGAGGAATACCTGTGGCATGTCTTGCACATATCACGCCGGCACGAGTCTATCGACTGGTGACCGGAGTCAACCTACGAACACCTTGCACGCCTGTGCTGGGTTGTTGCCTCTTCCTTACCAGTCATAAGCTAAGCCAGCAATGACTGTTGGCCAACCTATGTGGCGTTTTCTTGCTCTACCAAGTCCCAGTCATTCAAGCAGACAATCCTCATCCAGGCTCGTTCACATGCCATTTCCGCGTCACGACCTTGCAGTGCGCGTCCGTTCCCTCTTTGTACTATTCTCGCGTCGCGTCAGCACAATTTTGGTTCGATGGGTGCGTCGTGTGCACAGCCTACAGCATCGTTGCCATACACGCGGTCCGGTCGATTCATTCACTGCGATAAGTATTGGTCGACAATTCTTGCGATACTGATCAATGGCGGCTGAATAAAGCTGACACTTTGCCACGAGCTGCATCACGAGCACACGTTGAACGTTGACAAAACGCATCGTGACCTTTCTTAATCAACAAAGGTTACGAGGCTGCTGAAAGGATAAAACTCACCGTTACAGATTTTGTGACAATTGGCAAGTACAACCCTCCCGTTCATCCTAATCACCATGACGCGCTTGGCTAGATGCTACTGACTTGTGCTTTATTGCAGTATCTGCGGTGTAACCACTCAAACTGCCCGAGCGGAACGCACGCAAATCAACTGCACTGAAGCCTGCATCGAGAAACCACCCAAAATTACCAATAAAGACCACAACTCCAAGTGAAATGACGAGCTTACCCAGTCGTCGCAATTCAGCGTCAATGGCGTCAAACTCAGAAATCGCCTGCGTCAACGCCTTCGTGTCCAGCTCTGCATGGCAGAAGAGAAAAGGTAGGCAACAAACAGCAAACCATCCAAAAACTCGGCTCTACTCACCCACGGCAGCCTTGTTGTCCGCAAGAAAGCGCACTCGCATACTCCTTTGTGGCTCAAGACGAATCAACTTCCGCACAAACTCTTCTGCTTTCTCCACTCGATGCAAATGTTGCTTTACAAATACACGCACACCGATGTCAGCGTTTTAGTCGAGTGCCAGCTGCCCTCAAATCACTCACTTGCGTCGCGCGGACTCCAAACTGCAGTCTCGATCTCAGACATGGAGACGCCGCAGCGTTCCAGTTTGGCAATCCCAGAAACTTGGCGACGTCTCTCACTTCTTGCTTCGTCAGCTCACTCAATGGACTCACCACGTTAAACTCGGAAGCCGCGACCAGCCCTGTTACCAACAGCCAATTGGCACCACAACAACAATGAGCTACCTGTTTATCCCTCCTGCTGCTTGCTACCAACAAGCACTTACCCACTCTAGTAGGGTCCAGTTGGTCGTCCGCGTTCGTGCCATTATACAGCACGGGCTTCGCACATGCCTCCCAGTGTTTGTCGCTTCCGCCCATCGCTCGACGCTGCGCTTCCTTGGCCACGAACGCTGCCACCTGCTCTAGCTTGGCGTACAGCGTCGTCTTGCAATAATAGCAGCTTCTGCCCTTGTTGGCCACATACGTCTCCACTTGACCTTCATTGGTACCACATTCCCATAGTGCGACACCAATGACGGCCGCCACGTCCCGCGCTTGTTGCAATTGCGCCTCCGACAAAGCCGCCGATACTCCAATACACGCAGCGCTTGTCGCTGGGAACACGCGGTGCACCAGCGCAGCCGCGAGCGACGAGTCGACGCCACCTGAGAACGCCACGACGTTGTTGATTGGCTGCGCTGTGCACTGGGCACCCAGAGCTCGAGCCCCCCGCGAGGCCACAAGGCGCAGTAGACGATCGACTGTCGACACGAGCATTGCCCGAGAGTTGGGTGGGTGGTGAGGCCTTTTTGAGTCATGGGTACAGCGTTTTGGCTCCACGTGAGTGACCAATTCGCTCTATTTGTGGCGTCGAATAAATTACGATAGCGCATTTGTGACAAGGGGGGGGCGATGTAAAATAAACAAAAAGACAAAAGGGAGAAAAAAGAGCCAGCGACTTTGCTACCTTTCGGGTCGGCACCACGACCGCTTTGCAGCGACACGAGACATAGACGAGCCACGTCGGTCGTATATAGAAACGACCTCGTCGATAGAAACGGCGCACACGACACCCACCTGCGCCCATGACGTCGGCCTTCGCGTACCTCGTGGACCGCAGCGTTGGGCTCCCGAGCCGCTCGTACCGTGACGCGTTGCACGCGCGCGACTCGCGCGAGCTGCTGCACCACTCTCCGTCGACGACCAACTACATCTTCCGCCGGGGTATGCGCGCCTGGAGCTGTGCGTTGGACCCGACGGAGGACCGGTACCTCTTGATTGGCACCGCCCAGTCGCACTTGCTCCTGTTCGACCTCGAACCGCTGGACAGAGCCGACGTGGCGGGTGCCCCTACGTACAACGCGACGAACGTGCTCAGTCCGATGGCGGTCGCACGAGCGCAGCCTGCACCGTCGCTGACCCAGGGCCTCCAATGGGGTATTTCGATGGTCGAGTGGTACCCCGTTGACAGCGGGCTATGCATCACCAGCTCCTTTGATGGGCACGTGACTGTCTGGGACGCCGAGCGGCTATCGCGTGTCAGTGCATTTCCGCTACGACGGAAAGTCTTTGGCGCCAAGTTCTCGCCAGTGAGTACTACACACGCATTGGTTGCCGCGGCGACCGCCAATGGCGAAGTGCGCCTTGTGGACATTGCGAGTCACGCAACGGCGCATAGTCTATTGGGTCACAAAGACGAAGTCTGGACGCTCGATTGGGCACCAACGAGTGAATTTGCACTCGTAACGGGGTCGAGGGACGGCGAGATTCGCCTGTGGGACATCCGACGATCGGGAGCCACAGCTTGTCTCTTGTGTCTCGACTGCCACGGACGAGCAAGTGTCCCGGGCCGCTCGAGTTTGTACACGAACGTGCAGCGAGAGAAGCCCATGTCGTTGACTGCTGCTGCTGCTGCTACACGGAATAAAAGACGCCGCGTTAGCAGTGGTGGGGGCGGTGGGGGCGGTGGTGCATCCGAGATGCAACGTCGCGACCGACAGCGAGCGAGATCGAGAGTGGAGAGTCATCGTGAGGCAATGCGGGCGACAGTGTTTCGACCGAAACGGAACGACCCGCATGCTGCAGCGACTACTTCGTTAGCGGTTGCTCACAATGGGGGAGTAACGAGTCTCGCGTACACACCGGATGGGCGGTTTTTACTGAGTCGTGGCATGGACAATAAGCTCCGGTTGTGGAATGCAGCATCCGGTGAACATCAGTTTATGAACTACCACGGCGTGCAACGAGCACAGCCGCGTGCTGCTAGAAATGTACAAATGGCCGTTGTCCAAGAAGGCGGGGCGTGGGAGACGACGGTAGTGTTTGTGCCGAACGGGTCGGAGGGAGCACTGGCGTCGTACCGCGTGTTTGGCGAAAGTGGTGTTCCACTTGGGTCAGCTACAGCCCATTATCAGCAAGTGACTGCATGTTTGTACCGGAAATCTACACGAGAGCTGTATTCCGCAGGCGAAGACGGGCTGATCATGAAGTGGAAGCCGCCACCCGTTGACTTGTATCCTGACGTGCCAGAAGATGTCAGCAGCGACGCGCGAATGAAAAGTGGCGGATCTGCTGACGTCGCTACTGCTGCGGTTGGCGATACTGACGCATGGAGCGACGATGACCAAGATGCGACCAACCACCAATTCATCCCACCCATTTTGCGCGATAACGTATGAAGCTGCACGGCGAAAAGTGTTATGCGGTGCGCGGTCGGTGGCAACAATACCATGATGTCATTACGCCTGATCGAGCAGATGGATTTGTAGTGTTAGATAGCTCGAGGCCGACACTGCGATCAAGCAGCGGTTCACTTGATCGAAACGATGCACGCGATACTCGCAAATTCATCCAATGCCGTGTCGTTGGTAACTGCGTTCGGTTCCCAGGAGCGATGTTCGGTATGATGGGAAGCGTAAATGGATAGCTCACGTCACTTTCAACGACGAGAGACTCGAGGGAAAGCTGTGCGACCCGAGCGAAAGAGTACGCACTTCATAATGCCAGTGACGAGCGACGTGCAAGTTGCTGGACCAACAAGTCTCAGCATTGGTGACACATATGACGACCGCAATCATGTGCAAGTCACAACAGACCATAGACGTCGATACTGAAATGGAAACGTGGGGGGAACGAAGCGCTGTAGTGGCACAAGCAATCAGCGAAACGAAAGCTTTGGACGTCGGCGCCTCTTTTTCTTCGAGAAATAGCAGCACAGCTGCAAGACGTTGTCTGTCCTTGCGAGGTGTATCAAGCTGGTGACACCTGTCACCGCAAAAAAAGAAATGCGTTTACGCAGTCCGTGGGCACACTACGCAGGCCTACGAAAAAGGCCAAGAAAAGCCTGAACGAGCATGGACAGCTGATTCAAGGAGCGTTGGGAACGACACCATTGTCCGTGAGACGCGAATCCACAACTCAGCAAACGTGACAGTGAAGCATAGTTCTACGATGTCACATTGACATGCTACGAACGCACTTGTGAGCAGTCATGTCTCGGGTCGTACGTTGGGACTGCTTCCATTGAGAGATGTACCTCCCCAAGCTCTCCCTGCCTGTGGCACACACCAGCAGATCAGACAAAAGCTACGTCACGGCAATGTCGATGGCGGTACAGCATTCCAATTATCTCGTGCACCGTGTTCCCACAATACAACGAAAGAAGGAACGTCGAGCTTGACCGCGTAGATCCACCAGTCCGCTCCCATTCAACACCCGTTCATGTCAACGCCACGGCACCACTGGCGCAACCTCAAGAAGCGTCTGGAGTACCGCAAATTTACGTGCAACAGGAAAACAAAGGTGCGGCTGTGTTGTGCAGAACCACTATGGCAGTATGATCGCCAAGAGAGCTAGCGTATGTGCGAGTTGCCTTGACTTGCAACGTCTCACTCTGTCTCGACATTTCGACGCACAGCCAAAACTATTGGTGTGCAGCTCACACGGTTCCTGGAAACAGCATACGCTGGTGAAAACATACGTAGCAGGTCTCACGACAAACGGCTTACTCTTAAACACGTGCAAAAAAATGAGCAGAAGAAAGCGTGAGCATCTGATGACCCTCAACAAAAGCTCCAACTCGACTTGTTCTGACGGCCACTGCGTATGAACGATACGCAACTGGATTCTGCTGTTATCGTCAGACCGCTCTTTTCGCACCAAAAGTCACATCATTCAGCGTTTGTGCGAAAAGGAAGTTATGCGCTCACTTTTTTTTCGCTGTCAGTCCAGCACTTGTCTCCCCCTTCTTCTGTTGGGTTCGATCTGGTGTGCCGTCCTTTGCTATCGACAGTCCATGTCCATGTAAACGGTCACGCTTCGATCTTTCGAGCGTTCTTGTAAAGCACACAGTCGCTTGGACTGCTTCTAGCAAAGTTCGTCAGCTGCTGCTTTTGACAACACATGTACATCATGGTTAGTCTCCATCCAGCCATAGCCAACGTCTTATCCGGATAGGAACTGCAGCATGGAAACATTGCACAAGTCCAGTGTGGCTTCGATCGATCTTCCGCGATAAGTGTATCGACTGGTGTCAGTTCCGAGACCAGGACAACAAGCAAACATCAATCTTCGTGCACAGTGAGTGCTTGATCAGACCGCAGCGAGCTCATGGTCACAATGTGGATACTTCGATCGCTGTTGACGACACTCCATCGGTTTCGCATCTCGTTCTTTCTTGGTCGCAGCTTTTGGGGCCTATTCGCCTGTTTCTAAGGTCGCCTTAAGCGGATTGATACATGATGAGGCAATAATGAGATGGTCAACGCGCGACCACGTCTGGTGGACGGAGTACATCTGCTGGGCGACAAGTGCTCCACACATGCATGCATGCATGCAGCAATTGTAAAGTCTTGAATGCCCTGTCTGACACCCGTGCTCTCAGATTGGTATCATTCCTTTCGCCGTGAGGTGGTTCAGAACGCTCAGAATACTAGACAGTCGACGTACGCTGTATAGAGACGGGTTATGTGACCTCAGAAGGGATGACTCGCAACAACGTGACAGCGGCAACATGAGTGAATTGCTGCGAATGTCCGAATTGCTCGAATATCGTGGACGTTCAGCTACACCCTCGACTCGACTTGTGAGCGGTTGATCGTCGATCGAACTCAGACAAAACTTACTCCGAAGAAAAGCGTCGTGCCGGCTTCGATACAAAGTGACTTGTCTTCCACCGTGTCGTGCAACAAGTTGACATGGTCATGCCCATCGATACTTGCAGGCGACGATCAAGATTGAGGAAGGAATCATCCGAAGTATACACCTTGTGAAGGTCGTATGGTCATCGATTCGAATTGTACTGTACATATCACAATCAAGCGATTCATCAGGCCCGTGAGCTTCGTGTGTGGGATGCTGTAGTTCGTACATAGCTAGAAGGTCACACGAATTTGACTCCCGGTCGGCTACTAAGAGGACACCGCTTTGTTTTGAACTGCTACTTGCTAACAATTGCTCTATTCGTAATGACGGATCCAAGTGTTTACTCACCGCAACATGCTCTAGCTACAACTGTTTCGAGGTAATTTCCTGTAGCACAAAAGCTGTGTCTGCTGCAATTGGCCCAGAGCAGGAACGCGTACCACACAACAGCAGCTAATGGGCGAAAGAAAACGGTCCATTCCTTTCCGATGAAGTCGGTGTTATTTTGAATCCAATGGTAGAATTGGCAGCGACGCTTGAGTTTTATGCTGCACAGGATCACTGGTACCAAATGACAACGCGGGACATTCGTAATACAGGGCGGAATCGAGGAGGTCTGCTCTTGTTTTCAGTGCCGTTAAACACAAGTGACTGCTGACCTATATGAGGCTGCGCAGTTCTGTACGACGACACATTCGATGACTTCTATCATCATCAACTTCCGATCACAATTGGTATGCGTCTATAAACACATTCGCTGTGCGCTATCTAGTAATGCTCGACACATGTTCCGTCGCCTACCTTCCGCTGCACAATTCTATGGCATGCTGGCCTTGCGGCTGGGAGGATTGACGGTTTGCTGCAGATTAGCAAAGTGGAGGAGAGCATCAGAAAGCTACACAGCAAACTGATCCGCCTCGTTATCGTCACTGATGTCGTCGATGCTGCTGGTCTCGTAGTCTGACTTCCCAACGTACGCAATTATGAGGATCGCGATGATGGCAGTCGCCACTGCAGCGATAAGCAATGGATGCTGCCTGGCACGTGCCACCAGCGCAGCAATCTTACTCGTCTCCACGTTTCCCGTTGCCTGGTTGCCCCCCAGCTTTGCATACAGCTTCCTCTCCAAGGCTTTCTGGTCGCGTTTCTTCGTCTTCAGCTGCACCAGCAGTTGACGCACTTTACCATTCCTTGGTTCCATCTCCACTGCCTTGCGCAAGAACGTATTGGCTTCCTCAAACTCGTTCTGGTCCAGCGCGATTTGGCCAATGCGGTACATGGCCTTTACATTCTTTCCATCGAACTGCAGCACCTCCAAGCTCGACTGCCGCGCCTCCTTATACTGCTTCAGCTTGTGCTGCACGTTGCCCACATTGTTTCCCAACGCCACTAGCAACTCTTTGCACTGCACTGCATCTTCCTCCGAGTGTTCCCACGACTCGAGCAACTTCAGCGCTCGCTTGTACATCTTAGCTGCCTGCTCATAGTTCTTCTCCTTATAGTAACGATTACCACTCTCTTTCTTCTGCGTCGCTTCTACAATGAGCTCCTGAGAACTCATCTCGGCCGTGATCTTTTTACCCACGCGGCAGAGCTCCACTACAAACTTCATCTCTGCTCCAGGAGCCACGTGCGGTTCCAGCCCCGTGTCCCCATAGGCAAACCGGGCATCGCAACGCACCTCACACACTTCTCCGACGTGCATCATCTTGGCCACCAGCTCAAGTGCTGTCTCAAAAACATCGTACAGCCGAATTGGTAAACATGAGGTGCACAACCCAGGGATACCCTTTCGGGCATAAATGACGTACCTGGCACCACTTCGCCATCCCCGATCCGAAATTTTCGAACCTCATTGGCTGCGACTTTCTGGTTCGATTTGAGTACCCACGTCGAATATTTGATACCCACTTCTTCGCCAAACTCTAATCGATACAAACGACAACTAGTGAGAAAAACATGCCCCATGTGGCAAATATTCTCCTGAAGAGGTACAATAGAAACAGATGATGACATTCCGTCCGAAACACAGCGACTTGCTACCTGCTTGAATGCCGTCGGTGTTCACGGTGAGCACCTTGCGAAAGATGCCGCCACTACCCAAGACATCGTCGAATCCTTCGCGCGCGGACTCGCTAACGGTCACCATGCTCGAAGGCTGTTGTCGCACGAGAGAAATGTCTCAATTCACGATTCCAGTCCTCTTTCGAGGCATGAGCGAAAGGACTTTGTGCATGAGTCAAGTCCTATTTGCATGCATAAAGGGACTATTTGCTTGGATAAAGTGCGATTCGTAGCTCTTCTATCACAATGTGTCGTGTTCGGTCATTCATCGCGACGGGCTATTTGGGTACAGACTTAGAAAAGAGTCTGCATTTCTTTCGAATCCCGTCAAGTCGTCGCAGCGTCGTCAAGTCTCGATTGCCTGTACTGCATCACAGCTTTGATTCGATACGTCGAGACAGACGTGGCAGAGAAGGTCAGTAAATACTGGTTAAGCTCAACAGTGAGCAGTCCGAGCCCGCTTTGTAGTCAGTACTCAGGTTACGAGCGCAAGGAATAGGACGGAAGCAACGGAGATAAACACAGCGCCATGTGCACGATATGTAGTGCTGTCACTGTGGTATCGTGTTCAACATCAACGCATCATGCAAACCACATGCAGCAACGACGCAAACGAGAATAGCAAATGAAATTCGATTACAAAGCTGCGCTGCATGAGCGAGTGCGTCATCACTCGATGGACGGGTGCAATGCATTGTGCTTGATGTTGCTCGAAACGGGGTCCGCCAAAGTTGGCATTAGCAGGACGCTGCAATGACTTTGGCGCTGCTTCCCCATCTTCCAATAACTAGCCATTTGGACGACCTGTACATGTCGACAATGGACGTCTGAAACAGTACCAGCAAGACACGGTCCTGCTGGACAACCACTGACGTCTTCGGTACCAGATCTGTGCCACCGGCAACAGAAATGAGCTTCAAAGCAGTAGCGCGTTTCTAAGTACCAAAGCACTGATGCGCCAGGCAGACGCATCGCCGAATGTACCTACCGCCAGACGCAATCGACCTGCTCATTCACACCCGTACTGATCATGGAACAATCAGTCGTCACGGGGCTACACCAACTGGGAACTGTCATGTGCACCACTAGAAGTCCAGCATTTGTCATCCACAAAAGTGACAGGCAGCACGTGTAGCGCACTCAATCCGTCGGCAATGGAGGCAATAGCTTGACCATCCTCGACCATCTACATCATTTGTGTGCGATCAAGCGATGGGCGGTATCCACGAGTTTGTAGCTTGCTAGTCGTGGAGCTGTTGGCTGCCGTAACATCCGCTGGCTGCGATCGTCACTCTGCATAAAGGGGTCAGGAACTCCTCACCGTCTCGTCAGTGACCGTCGAAAGGCGGCAATGCCATCTTGGAGCTCTTCATCCTCTTCCTCCTCGTCGTCGTCGCCGTCTTCATCGCCGGACGAGAAAGCCGGAAAACTGGTCGAAGGAGAGGAAGGCACACATTCGACAATGCCACCACGAGCGTCCGGTTGCAGACGATGAAGACGGAAGGCGAGAGAGCTGTTGACTTTCTTGACTGCATCGACTTGGTCTCTGGCTTCACTCAGGGATTCGTTCAGCTGCTGCACAGTGCGCAGCAGCTCGTTGTTCCGAGCTACAAGACGCTTGCTACCCTTGATCTTGTCACCACCACCGTCGAAGAGGCGTTTGAGTTCTGCCAATTCGTGAGTTGTTTTTGTCGCATCAGCCTTAACTGAGGCAAGCTCCACCTGCAGGCGTCTTCGCTCCGTGAGTTGTGCTGCAAGATCATCCAGTGGCTGGTTGTCGTTGGCCACCACAAGTCTGCGAAGCTCCCTCGACAGCTCTGTTGATTTAGTGCGAAGCATGTTGCGTTCGGCCACCAAAGTCACGTGTTTGTCCTCCAGCTGAGCAATCTGCACCTGCTGGTCTTCTACTTGTTGTTGTAGGTCGGTGGTGCTTACCGTTGCGACAGTCCCAAACCAAGCATCACGTTTCCAGTTTTGTGCTGCGAGCACAGCGGTATCTGTCCGCTTTTCTCCATTGAAAAACTGGGCCTCAGTTTGCGTGTCTTGGTCCAGCATCGTTACTGTTCGCTTTGCTGCAACTCCAGCCAGCTGCTCTAGTTCTTGTCGACAAGATGCCAGCTGCCTCTCTACCTTCTCTAGTTTTGACTGCAATATCTGCGTTTCGCGTGCTTGTGTATCATGTTGCCTCGCAAGCTTCTCAAGTTGCCGGATCTTCGTTTGATGCAACTCGATGCGACTGTTCTTTAGCTCGATGGATGCAGCAATCTGCTTGTTCTCCTGCATTGCTACTTTTTGGAGAACCGACGCCGATACAAGCTTCTCTCGAAGCATGTTTATTTCCTTGTCTTGTGCAGCAAGACGACCTTCCAAAAACGAATTGTCGGCACCAACATCTGTGCCGCTCACTCCACAACCGCTTTTGCTTGCCATCACGGATGCACGAGGTGGTCTTGGTGTAGATAAAGTGAAGTCCGATGTTTGCTCGCTCATCAGCTGACCAGAATTTTCGCGGTTCAAACCAACTAGATCACTCAGCCGCGCACTAGACACGGAGCTTAGCGACCCCTCGCTTTGTAGTTGTACCGAAAGAAGCTTCCTAGAAATAGGCGAAGAAGTAGCTCCTGATACCGGAGTTGTTGCCGACGGCGGCGACCCTGCACTACCTGCAGAATCTCTCGTCGCAGTACAGCCACTAGCGGGGGACACTCCGCCCAAGTGTGGCCCCACGCTTTGAGTTGCAGTCACTGGTGCTGGTGGTAGCGGGGATGCTGCAGCGACGTCAAACGCCGGGTCCATGTACAAATTTCTCTCATCGGCTCGAGCTATTTCTTCTTGCTCGGGTGAAATCAAACGAGCTCGGAACGTACGAATGAGCAGCGTCAAAATGTCGCGATTTTGCCTGTTCTGAGCCACCAAGAAGAAGCAAGGCAGAGTTCCGAGCTGCTCTCGCCGATTTTGCAAATCGCACATATCTCCTTCACGGGTACCCAAGAAACCACCAAGCTCTCGCACCTTTATGGTGAAGCGGAGCTGGTTGCTAGGGTCCAGAAGTACCTGAAGATATGGACCGTAGGCAGCGTCCACGACGACACCTCTATCGTCTTCTGCTCTTTTACAAGAGCCACCGATGTGGCCGAAATCTTGATTTGAAAGCTTTCGTGCTCATTGCTTGCCAAAGTAGCGGAAAACGAACCCGCGCCAGCTTCTACAAATACGTCCACCGTCTTTCTCACGTCTGCATCCAGTACTAACGGTCGAGGCATCTCTACTACACGCTGTAGATGTGCAAAGCGGAGTGACTCGCAACGCAATGACAGAATCGCGCCCACATCATCCACCGAAGGAAAATACGGACACCGTTTGACGCCCTTTATCTGTCTGATCTCCGTCTCGGGTGGCGTCTTGCGAAACCACGTGAGCGTAAATTCGTTCAGATCGTCATCCAGTACACCAACAAATCGGCCTCTAGTTGTCACGGCTACAATAGGCGTCGAGTGCGGCACATCTACATTTGTATTTGCAGGTGTTTTGCGATGGCGGCCTCCTGCCGAGCTGTTGTGCGGTTTCAGCGCGAGGTTGTCCATCCAAGCTTTCACCACATTCTTGTCCTCCTCTGGTCTAGATGGCTTGTTGCCAATCATGCGCAACAAGCTCTTTTTCATACCGTCAGTTCCTGCTTTTCCAAGCGAAACCCCGTACTTTCCTCCGTTCGATTCTGAATTCGCTGAGGACGCCAACGGTGACCGTGGATTGGCACTATTCAGATCCGTTCCGCTGGTCTTCTGCTCAAATGATCCTGACCTTGTCATCTGGCTCAGTCTGGCACCCCACCCTGGACTACTCGAGGGTGACGTCGGTGGCATTGTAGTCTGCTTCTTTCCCAGCTCCTCTTTCTTCGTTCGATGGCAATGGAATGTCAATTTCAACGGAAACGTGGCCTCCTGCACAGCCGTAATGATCTCGTTGAACACCATGCTGGTCACGTTCACGTCATTAATCGCCACCAGTTCGTCACCCGGAAACACACGACCCGAAGCTTCAGCAACTGCCATGGTCCCATCCGCTTTCCTCCGAAACGCCTTCACAAGAGCTCCCGTCCCGTCGTCTCGCGAGAGCAAATCCACAAACAGCGGACCAGCTGCGCGGTAGACCACAACGACGTCACGCGTGCCCTTGTCTCGAGGCGACTTGATGCCTGCGAAGTCGGCCATGCCAGCGAGAATGCCTTCCCCCATTGCGATCAGTCCAAGAGGTTTCAACGTACCAGACGTTCTCACTGAAATGGGCGGCGGCAGCGCCTCCGCTGTTTTCTCCTCGTGAATATTTAGCGACGACTCGGAGTGCGTCGGTCTGGCTAAAAACGTCGGCAACGCGGCAGCAGAAGAATCCACTGAGAGAGAGGGTGTGGACGACAGCGTGTGATCTCGTAAGGTTCCATCCGATTGGGTGCGTCTCTGTGCGTTCCAGGGGCCCCGTGGGACCGCATTCGATGCGTCTGTGTCTTGGCTATTGACCAGCGATAAGGATGGAGCTGCTGCAGCTGATACCGCTTTCGGACGGCCACTTGCAGCGAACGAACGTGGCGCGAAAGGCGACGGGGTCGGTGAAGACAGCGACAACTCGACTTGGAGAGGGAGGTGCGCCTCGAGGGGCCTCTCTGAATCTTCCTCATTGTCCCTCGCTGTAGCACACGCAGCTTCGGCAGTAGACGGGCCATCGTGTGCCATGGCGGACGAGGAAGAAGAGGCCGATGCGCGGGCCGTTGACACTCGCGGCCTCGGGATGAAATGGTCCGACGCAATGATTGATCTCGTCGCTGTCCCTGGATACGTGATATATCGGGTTTCGGAGGGCGGCTCGTGTATCGGCAAAGTGCGATGTCGAGGGCTCGAAAAAGAGCTCGTGTCTGTGTGCGTGTGTGTGAGTTTCCCTATTTTTTGCGTGAGAAGAAAAGCACTGTAAAAGGCGTTTTCACGACGTTTGATTGCCACAGCTCTCTCGCTTGCTCTCGCTCTCTTCGCATCACATTTGAGTCCATCCCTTTGAGCCAAACTAGCAACGGGTTATGCCTTTCTAGAAGTAGCTGGAAAAACCACACCAATAGCTGTTGCACTAGCTGCACTGAAACAGCTAATGCGAAGGAAACCAGAGCGTGCTGCTGTCAAGCGCGGGCCGTACTTTGTACTTGTATGGAGCGCATCCACTGACTTTGTGAACGAACGACACGGCAAAGTGCCGATCGCCGATGGAATAGAGTACCAACTACCAAATGGGTCGCCTTCGTATTATCATTTATCTCGTGTGTACGTATCTTGCTCGTTCAAGTGTGCCATGTCTTCGACCGAAAGTAGCTTATGACCGCTTCGTCATAGCTCCTTTCTTTATGGCACTAAGCTTCGGGATGTCCGGATTGATTGCGAGGATTTTGGTATACAGGACTGCTGCTATGGCTTGCGTCCCCCGAGATCGCCCTGTTGTAACAAAAATGGTTGCGACAGGTTCGTTCAGTTTCTATCGAGACGCAGGAATGCAAGACAAGCAGGTACGTAGAGATCTGATGCACAGAAATTTGCTACAAGCGCAATGAATGGTGTGGGTCGATATGAAGCAAGTCGACCGCAAGAGAATTACTTACGTAGCAAACGCGTGAAACTTCAAGGACGACACAATGAGTCATCTGAACCCGTTCGACTGCTTTCGATTGCTTGATAACCGAAGTATGCAGTCCTCCAAGTATCCCGTTTCTTTCATGAGTTACTACTACAACTACTACTTCTACTTCTACTACTACTGCTACTACTACTACTACTACTACTGCGACTGCTACCACTACAATGCGCAGGCTGCTTTGTTTTTTGTATGCCATTAGCTGTGCAAAAAGGAAATGTGCAGATGCTACTACTCGGTCCCTACCAGTTGTCGGCAACTTTAGCTCTCGACTGGAGGTAGCTCAATCTAGAGCGGCCTCAACGACTTTTCTAGAACACCGAAAGGCGCTACAAGCACCTTGAAAGCAACTGGCTTTTGTTGAGATTTGTAAAAAGGACGCTATACCAACTGACAGAAAACAGTCGCCTGCGAGGAAATCATAGGCGTTCACGCCAGTGAATCGATCGAGTAATCTCGAAGCTGCGATCCACAATTGCTGCTGTCTACGTATCAATCGTTTTTCATGGCGCCACAACTACATCGACTGGTGCTTTACGTGCCGAGTGTACGAAGTGCATTCGATAACTAGATGCAAAATGTAACGTATCCGAATTGCTCGCCTCCCAGCGCACAACGGCATGGCGACAAGTGTTGATAAAAAGCGACTCGAAGCACGCCCTCGATACCAAGGACAACCGCTCCAATCAAATAGTTTTATCGGCCGTTCTTCTTAATGACTGATGCCAAGCTCGAGCGGAAAAAGATCGTGTCTTCTATTGCATAGCACAAGAATATTTGCTTGCGCTGGACACTGGAACCCGTCGCTTTTCAGCACCTCAGCTTCCGGGTGCACCGTCGTGTCGTCTATCCAAGGTAAACTGCGCTTTCCATAGCGTTATTCGAATCAAATCGAAGACCGCGACGACGAAACCACCACAAAGAGCGACGGAAACCACGCTTGCTAACTTACATCTGAATCTTGCTGAGGTACTGCACCAGACACAAATTGTTGTGCAGTAGCTTCTGCAGATGCTGCCACTGTTGCTGCTGCACACCTCCCAGCTCGTCTGCTTGTGCTAACAACACTGGGTCCGCCACGAGCAGCTCCTCATGCAGTTTCAAGAATCGATTGAGGTAAGCTTGAAGTACCTGGAAATCACGTCGAGTACGCATTTCCTCGCGCAGGAATGTCAGGAAACAAGCCAACAGCTTCTTGCCCTCCTCGTCAAAGGCGCCCATACACAGCGTGCTCATTTCGACGTCCACTGCGGACGCAGAGAGCGACTGCATGTACGCCGACACCTTAGCAAAGCGCGAGGCCGCGTGGTCACTATAGTCGTCATCTTGCACCGACTTTGCCAGCAACGTTGCCAGCTTGCAGCGGGAAGTAACCATGCCTTCTGATTTGACAATCCGCGAGCTTGGAGCAGCTACTTCAGCGTCCTCTTCCAGGTCTTCGCCATCATCATCACCCCATGCCGCATCGTCATCCTGAGCCCCCCAGTTTTCCAGCATCGTGTCATCGCCCTCTTTGTTTACAACACTCTCCTTGGACTTGGGTGCAACAGGCACAAACGTAGGCTGCACGTCGTCCTTACGCGCGGTTTGAAGGAAAAAAGGAGCATGTTCCGGTGCCTTGGGAGGCTCAATAGGCTTGTTGCGCTTCTTGATAAGCTCGAGGTTGAAGAGAGTTTGCCAAAATGCTCGTGGGGCCGTTGACAACGTGATGAGCGAAGCATCGAGCGGCCCCGGGCTCTCTTCACCTCTTGTATCTACAACGCTTTCTGGCCGCGCTTCGTCAGCGCTTGCCACTAAAACTCGAGGGTTCCGTTCAGTGCCAAAGTCGAGATGGTCGCTGTTGTCGACCTCGTTCAAAGCCACGGGCATGTCCATCAGCACAGGCGTGGTCGGCTCAGAATCAAGAAAGACTTCGGTGAAAAAGCTGCGATTGGCCCACAAGAAAATGCCAACGTCGCCCACGTGCGTGGTCGCAAGGAACTCGCCTGTAGGGGATACAGCTAAGCCAGTCACAGGTTTCTGAAATCGCATCCAATCGACGCACTTGCCCTTTGGAATATCCCACACGCGCAACGATGCGTCAGCAGACGATGAAAAAAGCCACCGCGCATCCGAGCTGAAAGTCATGTCTGTCACGCCGTGTGAGTGTCCTGCAAAACGGCGCACAAGTTTGTACGTCGTCGCATCAAACAGACGAAGAATTTGGTCGTCGCACGCTACGCACAGCAAGTTGCTATCGCGGTGCAACTCCATCTGGCTGACAGGAGAGTCCACGTTGATCTCATGACGCAGTTCGTGCTTTTTGAGACCCCAAAATTTCAGTTTGCCGTCAATCCCGGCAGAAACCAAGGTCTCGTTCAGCGCATCAACAGCGACGGCGCTCACGGGTCCGTCGTGAGCATCCATAGCGGTATCGTCCTGCTCGTCGTCTTGCAGCACTGACAGATCTGTTCCAGGTAGCACGAGCGAGCTAATGAGCTTCGGCTTCGGCGTCAGTGCCACCGGAAACGAGCCACAGGCTTCGCCGGACTGTATGTTGTATTGGAAGATAGCTCCGCTTGAGCTGCCGACGAGTGCGTAGTTGCCACACGAACCGATAGCCACGCTAGTTGCCTGCGTCTTTTTGCGGCGTAGATCCTCTGCGCTACCCGGAGGAACGCGGTTGCATGGATCAAACTGTCGGAGCACCTTCTTGCCAATAGCGCGGTGCTCAAAGCGCCACACGTAAGCGGCAATCTCGTTTTCGTGGCACGTAATGACATTCGCCCAATCGCGCGCTCGCGTCTCCATAGCAGCAAACTGCACAATCGGCGGCAGCTTCAAGTCATCGACGCGAACATTCAAACTACGTGCTTTCTTGAGAACTGGTCCCTGCGATAGCTCCCTGCTCTGCTGCTCGCGCGCCGTGTGGAAGACACGGAAGGCGCGGTCCTGACCGGCCGACAAGATCTGGCAGCATGTGCCGTCAGCACCGTCCGACATTGTAGCAAGCGTGTTGTTCCCGTAGTAGCGAATGCGCGTCGGTGGCGCACGGTGACCTTCACGAGACTTGAGCAGTCGAGCTGTACCCCCGTTAATTTGGTCGAAAATCCACAACTTGATCGAATTATCGGTCCCTGCAGACAACAACAACGGCTCGTTGGCCAGGAACTGCAGCGACATCACAGCGCCGTCATGCGCATTCGCAATCACCGACTCGAGACGTTTACTTTGCAAATTCCACACTGCAATGTCACCCGATCGCGACCCCGAGACCACCAAAGGCGTCGTCGAAGCAACTGCATCTGTTCTGAAAGACGCGGCCGTGATGCCACTTTGCTGATCCTGCCGGAAGTCCAGCACGCGTCGATCCAGCTGCAAGTGGTGCACCATCAGTCGTCCATCTGCCAGCCCGATGCTAACAACGTCCACTGCAGGACTCTGTTCCAGTGCTGTCACTGCACTGCCCCATCCCGTGAACTCAAACACACACTGTTTCCTGCGGACGTTCCAGAGCTGCAACGAACCTTACTTCGACCCCAAAAGGATCTTGTTCAAGTACGTGTCGGGGTGCAGCATTGTCGTGGGCTCAAAGTGTACTGGGAAACTCAGCATGTCAATGATCTCCATCGTGTCCAAGTCCCACATGATGATACTGCGTGCGTCGTCCAGCGAAAAGAAAATGGTGCCCACAGTCATCAGCTGCTGAATAGCTCCTTTGTGGCCCAGCAACGTCTTGATCTGCTCGACTCGCTTCCAGACAATGATCTGACGGCCACAGGCCGTAAACGTCAAGTGCTTCTTGGGCTGCACGGCCAGAGCCGCAATGCGCTTCGGCAGCTGAGGTGACACGAGCACAGCACGTTAGTTTGTCGCACTTGTACACGACGAGCGACACAATAATAGCGTCGTACTCGTCACCTTCGTCTAATTTGGCCAATCTCGTCTGGATGTTCCGCGCAACGTCTTGACCTCAACGCTGGGAAACTGACTCCGTATCACCGCTTCGCGTCTCAGCAAACTAGTGCCAATCACGCTCTTCTCTGGTAGCTGCTTGAGCGTTGTGAGGCCCTTGGCCTTGTGCTTGGGATGAAGGATCGCTGCGTCTTCAGGACTCTCTCGTTTCGTGATGGCAGCCAGCACGAGACCAGCCGGTAGCGTTGTCGGCATGTCCTTCAGCGAGTGGACAGCAAAGTGGGCAGTCTTGGCGAGCAGCGCTTCCTCGAGACTCTTGGTAAAGAGACCAGAGGCAGTGGATGTACCCAAGTCGCTTAGATGGCGGTCCAAGACTTGGTCGCCCATCGTGTCCTCCTGTCCCACAACAAAGAGGAGATCTGGGAACCGGCACTCGAGCATAGAGATGACAGCATTGGTCTGCGCCATAGCCAACGGGCTCTTGCGGGACGACACGAAGATAGTGGTCTTCGGAGCGGACGCTGATGACATGATGAGTCAATTGATCAGTGCACAAGTGGACGCGTCCACATGCGGTACACACCCACTCTTTGATACGTACATCCCCCCTAAATTAGAGGCCCTCCCTAAGTACCATTACCTCCCTAACTTGGTACTGCACACTTAAGCATACAAAATGCCATATAAATATTCTTTGCTTTGTACACATCCCTCCGTAATAAGGGCCTCTTTGGTGTCGGCGCACAACCTCGCGTATGACTTTCGCTCTCATTATCCGGTACACGGCCCCTATAAATACCCCTAATACAACGATTTCCCCTATTGCATGGATAATTAAATGCAGGTCATCCACACCGTGATCTGTCAAATGTTCAGTGAACTTATCGTAGATTGAAATGACGGCGCTCGGGATTCTCGGTTGATCCCCACTGCGCGGTGATCTTCTCGTCCCAATCGCGCACAAAAATCTTGTGCGAGTCAATTGTCAGGCAGAGATACTCGTCCATGACGGCCTTTTCCGTATCGTACCGCGCAGCAGTCGGCCCCTACACCGCATCCGATCAAACACAAACCCATCAGCAGCAGCAGCAAGTGAGTCAACATCCGCCCCCAAAGAAAAACTACCTGACGCCTTCAATGAACTACCATCGCATTTACAGCGTCGATCTGAGACGACACAAGTTGTGCGCGGCGACAGTCGTCTACCCCACGAGTTCACAAAGCACGTCGGCGCACGAGCGCTCGTTCCTTGCAGGATAAGTCGGATCATAAATGCTAAATTTGAGATCGTCCGGCACTGCTGCATTGTCAAAGATTTACCGCAGCGACTTCGATCACCTGAGCAGGCAAAGACACATTTACATCCACAAAAAGTCAGCAAATAATCATCCAGAGGTCGGATTATAACAGACACAATAAGTGCCTCAATGTGTACATGTGGCACCTGCTCACCTGGTCAAGTCGCGCAAATTGGCCCCCAGAACGACCGTGCGACGTCCATTGACAATCGTCCGAGTATTTTCAAGTGGCTGCGACAGAAAAGTGACAGCTGCTGCGTTGTTGTGCGTGCACAAACGCCGCTCTGCTCAGCAACGAGACGGTCTCCTGCGGTCGTGCAGGTAGTGTACTCTAGTAAATAGAGGAACTGTTCGCTAGCAATCGAGCTAGTGTCAGAGAGGAAGTCTGTGGTACTGAAAACAAAGGATTCTATCACTATCTTCTGCCCTAATGTTTTCTGCTTTGCCTCTCTACCGCTCGTGTTCACCCAAGCGGTTTCCTGGAGCCGAAGCTGACCGGAGCCAAAACACGACAGGCCTTAAGTCGTTAGCCGTTACTTCAACCACCCCAGCACGCCTTTTCATGCATGTACGTACCTAGCATGAAACGACTAACACACTCAGAAATACCGCAATTTCTAACAGGAACTCGTACAGCATCACAACGAGACAGATGGCGGATAGGAAAATGAGCAGAGCAACGCGCAGGTACCATGAGGCGCCTCTTTGCTTCTCGCCGCGGGAGCTCACGCGGCCGTACGGCTGAATTGCTGCTCGTATTTCAGGCGATGTTGACGTTGTTCTGAACGCAGTTAAAAATAGGGCAATATGGTAGTATTAGGGGTGCTTATAGGGGCCGTGTACCGGATAATGAGAGCGAAAGTCATACGCGAGGTTGTGCGCCGACACCAAAGAGGCCCTTATTACGGAGGGATGTGTACAAAGCAAAGAATATTTATATGGCATTTTGTATGCTTAAGTGCGCAGTACCAAGTTAGGGAGGTAATGGTACTTAGGGAGGACCTCTAATTTAGGGGGGATGTACGTATCAAAGAGTGGGTGTGTACCTATAAATCTCCTTTTTTATTTTCATGATTAAATGGGGCATTGTTTATATCCCCTTTAATATACACGCGTCAGTACCGCTTACGCTCTCACATTGATCAAAGTTCGTCTTTCCTTCGCTCAAAGAAGTTGCACGAAAGACGTTTATAGCTCTTCGCAACTTTTCCTGGCGAGCACGTGGCTGGCACACCGACAATAGAGTAGGACTCCTCGCTTCTTTACCTCGGTGAACTACGATCGATCGCGTTTGATACGCGGCGGGTCGGCACCGATTGCAAGCAAACGAATCAAGGAGAGATAGTCGATGTTAATTTAACACACTATGAGCCTAAAACACTAGTAAGGACCTTCCCTTGGTTGAATGTCATGATGTTTTAGAGCCTTTTGAAACCGCGATTTCTCTCCATTCATCCAAGCAATGGCCTCGTTCATCTCTTTCAGGTTCTCGGCCTTCACCTCTTTGGCGAGGCGTTTTTGTTCAAGTAGGGCATCATGTTTTTTAGCCAGGTCTCTGATGAAAGGTGTTATCGAGTACTTACGAGCCCTGGGTGGAGAAGTCAGATCCAGAACACTGCGTGGGGAGGGATGTTCTTCGATGCTGGCTAGAGCTGTCCGTTTCCGGTCACTTGAAGGGGACGCCAGTTGCAGGCCGTTTGATGGGGCTGCCGCCGCTTTCCGGTAGTTCGAAGGGGGCGTCCGGGTCCAGGGATGCTGTTTCATCAATTTCGAAAATTGTTCGGCCGCTATAACGTTCTGCTCTGTGCGGTAGACGGCGTACGCTGCGGCGATAATGTCCACATGCGATGCAGGTAATTTGCCCTCGGTAGTCGCCAAGTTGGACAGGGCTGCCCGGACCGTACTTTTTTCGTACCCGCTAGAGTAGAGTCTAGCAAACACACTTTCCCAATCAGCACCAGCACCCTTTATATCGCCAGCAGCTAAGCTTGTATGTTTCGCCTTCGCGTCCACCGCGGGGGCTATTTGCTTGGACCTGAAGCGAAGATACGGGTTCACACGAGCAGTAACTTTTTCGACGACTCCTGCAACGGCCTCGATGCCCCGTTCTTCAAGAGGGTCTTCGTCGGGGACGGTGGCGGCACGAAGTGCGTTCCCATCGCCAGTCACGTCTGGCGGCGTAGCTTGATCTTCGTCAGACGATGTCAACTCGGACAGCTTTTCGAATGCTGGAGACGTAGCACCGCCACTGCAAGACGACAGGACGAGCGCGAGGTGGAGGAGAAGGAGCCACTTCGTCATTGCGGCAGATGAGCGCTGGAGTCGGTGGGTGGCGAGGGAGAGACTGCGGCAAGTTGCTGGTGTGCTCGGGTCACGGCAAAATGGGAAATGAGGAGGAGTGGGGCGGGTCTCAACTCGAAACATTGGAGACGGCTCGTCGTGAGACGGTGTCATCTGGAAAGAGAGGTCTTGCAGACGGAGTTGCTGTCGACAACGCCTGACTGCTTCCAGCCGACTCTTTCTCGCACGTTCTGTGTACGCGATGTAGGATTCATGGTGTACAGAATCAGGTGCGCGCTAGATGAGACATCACTCGTCCGTACGTTGGTACACACTGTGTGCTTGAGTGTCGGATGGGTAGACAGACCTTTACGACGACTAGTGCCGAAAACCGATTGAATGGGCTTGACGGGTCATTCATATCGTAAAAGCGGACATCTCTAGCGCTTCGTAGGTACTTCTCGAACGTGGCGATGTCTATGAAGCGCCACAGATTGGAAGGTAAAGGCAGTATAGTAACCAGCTTCTAGCCGACGTTTTGCCACTCCCGACTTGTTGCTGTCGGATGATATTTCTCAGATCGATTAATAGAAATGCAGACTTTGTCGCTGCGACATTCCTGTGCAAGGGCACATGTACACATCGGTCGACCACGAAGGCTCAAGAAATGCTTGTGCCTGTAGGCCAGTGGGAGAAACACCACGAGTGATGTCGTCTCGATTAGAAAAAACCGGTTACAATCAAGCTTACGCAAGCGTCATCATGAACTGGGCGTTGCAGGGCAAGTACCGGAAGCAAGGGATGGGAGCAACGTAAGCACACGCAAGCTGTGGCTTCGTGCGCAAAGAATAAATAGTCGCAGCTTGCTTGTGCTTACATCGCTCCTATCTACCGCGAAGGAATTTACTTATCACTTTACATGCAGGCGCTCGTTACCAACTCTTCAAATCTGTCAATTCCCCGCAATCGGAACTTTGGAATCATACACACACATTTGCGCCGCTCATAGGACAACAAACGATTTGTCCTTAGCGTCTACTTGGCAACATCGTACGGTCGCTTGGATAGGACATTCGATCGTGCCACCATCATATCGTCAAAACATCAATTCGTCGGTATCCCATCTTTCGGGCGCTCCGAGGACGACGAAAGATTTGTCTATAGCGTCTGCTTGAACGCGTCGTGTTGTCGCTTCAATGGGATTTTATAAAAAACCGCTTTCACGTCATAAGTGCACCATTTCGATCTGTATCCTGAGGTGCGACGCTGAACGATTCGGCACACTCAATCGTTTTTGCTTTAGCAACGGGCACTGATGCTGCTATAAGCTTTCCAAAGCCCTCAAGAGACTGGCTTAATTCGATGAACGCATATGCAGAATCTAGCTGCTTGACAATGAGGCACAATATATGGATTTCATAGCCGGCAACTACGAAAATCTCCTACTTCTGGGATCCCCGGTATGTTGTGTCTTAACGCGATGTAGACAATTGGACGCCACTATTGTCACTTGATCCGGAACGAGGACATTGTGCATTGCGGATCGCTTTCGTCGTCACAACGAATGGCGTGTTCGCACACACGCACGCACGCTCCTACTTCTTCGTTTTGAACAAAGCATATCCGCCATATCAAATACCGCAATTGGGCAAACCAGCGGCTACATGCGATGAGAAGGGGGCCCTGTATTGTCACTGCTCAGGCGAAACTGTTGAGACATAACCAAGCGGGTTCTTTGTGCTTGGCACATTGTCAAAGGAAGGGCACGTCAAAGACAGGTCCTCGGGTGACAGCGCGTGTATACATATGTGCAAGAAGGCAAATACAATAAGCCTCGGTGGTTCCGAACAGTGCCACCATTGCTCATACATATAACTGACCTCTGCACATGGATCGAGCTTTAGCCCTGTATGCTCGGCACGCATGCTCACGAGTCCACGAAAGGCTTCGTAAACGCGTGCCGTCGTCCGAAAGAAGTGACGCTCAGTTCGGGCACGTCTTTCTGACGTCGAGGCGCAATCGTCTGCATTTCGACCTGACTTTGCGACGTGTGAGAAAGGGTTCATGTCGGTGGCGTAACCTGTGCACATATATGCACAAGATGTCTGAAAACGTCTGAGCCAGGAATACGCGCCGAGTTCGGTCGACAGACATCGGTAGGACTGAATTTTCAGGTAAACAGGTCTATAGAGACCTGCAATCGAGGGTAAACAGGTCTATAGAGACCTGCAATCGAGGGTAAACAGGTCAGTTGAGACGTGCAATAAAGCCCGTCCGACGACCGAGTCGGGACCTCAACGCTCACGCTTTGTAACGCTGCGGAATGAACACCGATGGCTTCCGAGCAGGTAGGACACTATATGCGGCGCGGGGTCTGCATTCGTCTCAGCGTCGCGTTGCGTCGCGTCGCCCCACTCATCCCGTGATCTCCGGCAGAAAATGTCGTGAGTAGTAATCATGCAGCGACATGAAAAAAGGCAAGTACATGGTCTGCAATCACCTGATGACAGTCGAAGAGCGCGACATCACCTGAAACGCGTACGAGGGACATCGAGGTCGGCAGTCGCTGATTGGACAAGAAGACTCAACAGGTGGCAGTATTCTCCTCAGTAATGGGGCAGTTGCGAGGCCGAAGGAAATGACTCGGAATGGTAGTATGTGCAATTAAAATACATGTCAGCAATGGAATCGATAAATAGCAATAGCGTGATGCAAGCTATTCTATAATCTATAAACGTCGACCGTAATTGCGGGCCGTAATCTATAAATGTCGACAGTATTTGCGGCCGTCAGCGTGAAGCGGTCAGTGAGAATGCGCAAGGAATAGACGAACTTCCCGGTAGCTACTATTTATGTGTCATGTTTGTGTCTGAAGTCACGCTGAAACGCATCATGAACGACACGGAAGTGGTGCGGTCTGCGCCTTCAAAATTCCGTTCAAGTGCGGTGCTACGACGAGGGCTTGCCAGCCTACTAGGCCAGGCTATGCATGATCGTGCCCAATGCGTATATGTCACCAATTACGAGAATGCAGGCAGCGCCGCTTGGTAATCGTGCTTAGGTGAAGCGGTCGATCTCGATTGCCGAGTGGATTGCCGCGTGGGATAGCACTGGAAGTGGAACCGGAGGTACTGGGTCATGTACCCATGGTGGTCTGTACGAGCACAGATCGGCAAAATAGACTTTGGCAGGAAGCGATCAACCAAGCAAGTATTGGCAGTATACCGTCCCGCAGACGAAGTTGTGTGGTAGTTGGGTGGCTGAGGGTTTACAAGCCGAGCTCCATAATGTACTGGGAGTGCGGACCGTCGAGAAGCTCAAACGTTGCCGCTGTCTTGCAGTCAAATCCAGCTATACTGAGTTATTTTGTGGCTTCGACCGTAGCGTAAAAGCCGAACTCCACGGTACCTCGTGTGTTTGTGCATGTGCATGTGCGTAAGTCGTGTTGAGAAAAATCACGGTGTGAGGGTCGTTCGTCTATCTTTGTTCGGTTCCTCTGTAACGAGGGTGAGCTTTTCTCAGGAATCGGCAGTGCATTAAATGTCAATGTGAACATTAGCTTAGCGGGTTGAAGTCGTAACTTGATCGTGAAACAAAATATAAACAGAGTACAGTCTTCGAAAGTGATATTCGATAGCTCTTAACAATACGCTGCGAATTCGCTAATTCGTACTACTACCAGCCAACCGTGTCGCCAACCCAAAGCAGGCACGCATAACAAGGGGATGCGCAGCTAGCCAGCACCAGTAGTAGTAGCAAGACACAATCGAAGGAGACTTCCAGCGGATCAAGGCAAAAAAATGATGCACTACGGAAAAAGAATATGCACCAAAAACCACGGATAGTACAATCGCGCCAGAAGATCAGAAATTAAAGATAAATCGGTCAGTCAAAAATAAAGCAAGTGCCTCATACAATGAGAGATAAACAGATGCGTCGAGTGTTAGAAAAACAAGAATGTAAACGTTACGTGCAAATATACGGGTGCCTGTGATCACTATTTTTCGATGTATCTCTTTGTAATTTTCTCTATTACTTACTTAAACTAAAAACCTTTGCATTTTCTTTCGTCGACAGACAATTTAGCGCGATGAAAACAGTGCGTTGACTCTTCAGGTAGCAGGGTTAGTTGTATCATGACAACGACATTAATGAGTGACAGTGCGAATGTGATCTTAGCGGACAATATTCTTGTCTATTAGTGGTAGGGCTATAATATTCGGTAAATCCTGCTGGATGGTTGATATGGGTCATCATATCAATCAACAAAGCGACGACGAATAAGGAAGGCGCGCGATGGATGGTGGCAGATAGTTACTGATCATGTTTATATAAAAATGGTAAATATAGATATACCAGAGCTTTTGTCAACGTGATAGACTTTGTTAAATAAATTCGCTCATCGTTGATCTTCCCCTGCAGGTTTAAGTATGTGACGTTTCGAGGCATCGTTCTTGTTGGTAGTATAGGCGCGGTATTCCATTTTACCGGGTAGCACTTTGTGGTCCGTAAGACGGACGCATCCTCCATGAAAGTGGTGAATGAATATTTATGTTGCATCGTCCGTAAACTCTTTGCTTCTTCAGAGATGCGAACGTATTGCAGTCGACTGGGTGAGTTCGACCGTCGGTGAACCAGCCGTCATTGCCATGTTGTTCACGCCAGTATGTGACGTGCAACTATTAGCACGATTTTACATCAAGAGGCTGACGAGATTAAAAGAAGGATCTTTATGTAGCGAAGCTATACAGCTCCTTAAGTCAGAGGAAGACTATAACGCCCAGTGAGCAAACGTTGGTTCAACGATCCCGACTCAGAGAGTCAACAAGCTCAGAAAGCTTGCTGTCCCGGTTCATGGGAACCAAACGATTTAAAGAATTACAGGAGCGAGTGCTGACAAGTAGCTACCTTGACAAGGCGTTGCTAGACGCGTAACGATGTAAGACGCCTTAAGAAGGCACGTGTCTTACACAGATCAAAATGGGAACTGAACTTTATTTGCCTTTATCTAAAAGAACAAC